CCTTGCACCGTCCACGCTGTTGAAGTCGATGAACACCACAGACCTTTGTAGTCCCTCGAAAGCTCAGACATAATCAATCATGTTTGATCCACATCCCTGCATGCTCCTATTACCTGACCCGTGCAATCTATTTTGCTGCTGCTACTTTCCACTGGAAAATCATCACCGGCTGCCTACTGCCTTGATTCCTGGCCAACGAAGCCACCTGAACATGCACTCAGCCAACCAAGCCAAATGACCACATGCACTCGGTCCTTCGAGCTCTGTCATCAAGTAATCGGCCAAACAACTAGATATAGCCAGATTAATCAAACTAAAGCACTAATCAATAAATCATTTTAATAATCAAATTTGGCTATTAGATGTGTTCACGTGAAATACGATCCGAGCCAAATTTGGGTATCAACAGGTGCTTCTCCACCTTTCAATTCTATATCATCATAGTCGTCAGCTCATGGCATACACCTGTGCTGCAGCCCTGGTTATGTACATGGTTTCTAAAGCTTTGCTACTTTGTTGTTTTGGTTCATCAGATTGTTCTGTTTGAATCAGAGGAACTACTGAAAGAGCAAAATTATATAATCAGACTTGAGATCATCTGATTTTTGAAGGCAGCACCAATTAAACATAGATGTCAGGGCTTATAGTATAGAACAGAGAGTTCGCGGATTGTGAAAGGATAGGGTTAGATATGTAAAAGAGACAAGCTTGGATTGGATTGAGCACCTTAAAACATTCTAGTGGTTTATTTGATAGAATAGCATGATTGATGCAAGAAATAAGAGAGTTTATGAGATTTGACAAGGGTGATTTACACGACAAACATTCTAGAATAGCATGACAAATATCTTCTCTCATGTAATATCTTAAGATCTTTGTAGAAATTTCTTGCCATCTTCAACACACTCGTTAAATCAGTTGCTCTTCAAAGACGACTAATTTTTGCACGGGTACTGCTTCTACTTCTACCTAGTGGCAGCTCCAACAGCAACAGTACACTTACATCCCCGTTCTCTTAGGGCAGCGCTAAAGCGTGACCCATCGCGCAGAACGGGAGCGAGCGACCCCAGTCCCACTGCCCCGGCTTCGTCCTCCGCGCGCGACCCCGGTCTTCTTCCTCCTCGCCGACATCGTCCTTGCCCCCACCCCTGCTCCGGCTTCCACCGCACACGGCCGGCGACGGCCGCCTCGCCGCTCCACCCACCTCCCGCCCTCACCCATCGAGTCCGCCCTCTTCTAATTACAATGCCAGTGAGCTCCTATGTCCTATCCTCGCCCCGCCACTGCCCTAGCTACCACCATCGGCGTTCCACAGCTCCCGCCGCCCCGTCACGCTGCCCTCCTCCCGCCCTTGCCCGTCAACCCCACCCTCCCCTAAAGATAGGGCAAGCTCGTGGGCGAACTCCGCCATGGCGTCCCCTCCCCGACCTGGCTCGGCCGCCTACACCGCCGCCAGGGCCCCTAAACCACCGTCCCCATCGTCTGGCCGATCTAGCTCCCCCCAAACCCCGTTCTAAGCTCGCTGGAGTTGCAGAAGAAGAGAGGGACACGGGCTGCTGAAACCCTGGCCAAAGTTGGGGAAGAAGAGTGGGGCGCGGTCGGGTGCGGGTGAGTGGGGCGCGGACGCGAGCGAGGGGCGTCACGTCGCGAATTAACTTTTGCGTTCTCTTACAGCAGTTGCTCACACAAAAGTAAGCCGCAAGTAGACTTCTCTACTCGTATGCATATCACAAAAGCGAGGAGGAGGTATATATTCTAGTAGTAGCTAGCGCACTCACCGTTTCAAAACCGACCCCCTTTTCTAGCCAGTAGCTTACCTTTCGGATTCGAATGTTGTCTCAGTTTGGCTCTCTAACCGAGGACGGAGCTATATGACTAACTTGTCATTAAGTTCTACGGGTGCTACCGTCGGATATATGGGCTAGGGGTACCCGCACCACCTGTATATTCGACTATGTCCATCTATTGGTCCAAGAGCTACGGCGAAGGAGGCCCACGGAGGCTAGGTGAGTCCATCAGCTTGGGGATCAAGTTATTCCAAAGATATCTGGAGCCGTCGTATTTAGACGATAGAGTAGGATCAATCTATCACGTATTCTATGTAACAAACTAGGAAATCAATTTGTTAGTCGATCAGATCTGTAACCCTACTCCCGTAGGCTATATAAGGAGGAGTAGGGGCCCTGATCAGGATCCAATCCGATCTACTTGATTCTAGCACTGCGTTAGAAGAAGCAGCAGCTCCTGTAACCGAGCATATGAATACAAGAAGAGCAGCATCACCCTTGATTGGACTAGGACACCCCACGTGCCTGAACTAGTATAAATCTTGTGTCTTGTGTGCTACCATCTGATTCATCTTACGCGATTAGCTGCTAGGTATTGCCGGAGCTAATTCTTCCGACACTAACCCTTTTGCTCTAGTGTAAATTGTGGTTTGCAGGGAATTTTTATAGGCTATTCACCCCCTCTGGTCATTTAGATCCTATCAATGATGCTTAGGTTAAAACAGTCTTCCTTAATGAAAAACTTTCAATTTTTTTGGTGGGTAAGTCATGAGATCATTCTTGGAGATAAAAATCAAGGTGTGAGGTATCCTTCAACAGTTGTACACATCTTACCTTGCCCTTGCTTGACTCTTTGCAAAAAAATTAGTGAATAATAAAGGAACATCGTTTAAAAGATGGGATAAATGTTCTATGCTAACTGCAGGTCGCCACTTTCTTTAGCTTTGGTTGCAAGAGAACGTTGCAGTTAATACTACTACTATATTGTATTTTTTTCCTTTTTCTTCTTAAACCATCTGAATTCAAAGCTATCTTTTTCCTTTTTCTTCTGAAGCAATCTCTGTATGCAAAGCTTACAGATTATACGTACGCCCATTATGATGAATTTAGTCACCTATCATCCACAAATTAAATTGTTGACTTCATATGTCATTAGGAACTCCAAATTGGCCGTCTAAATTATAATATCAAGTGGTCACCTAAATTATAACCTCAAACTCCCGCAACAACGCGCGGAGAATTCAACTAGTTATATATATAAAGACGTTGCCATCCGCTTGATTAAAGGGGAATTGCTTTCTAAGTGACAAGTAATCTTACAGTACATATCTAATTTGGGTACAAATTTTTAATGTTTCTATACCTATATTCCAAGATAGAGTAAGGTCTGTTTATTGGAGCTTTGGTGGCTTTGGTTGGCTTTGCACCGTTGCAAGGTGCTGTTTTTATATTTCTTTTGAAAATAAACTAGGAAGCTCCATCACATACTGTAGCAAGGAGCCAAAGCTGTTTGGAGTCGCAGAAAACAACATATAAATGCAAATATAAAAGTAGTGTGACTAGTAAGTGCACAAAACGACATTAAAAATTGATAGTTGAACATTACATAATTGCTCTCTGCAAATGCACTTTGATATGGGACCATTTACTTGTGACTTGAATTATGTGAGGTCAGGATTCAGGCAATGCATTATCTCTTCGGGAGTCATGCGTGTCTAATTAGTGGTGATATCATCAAAGATTGTGTGTTTAATAATCGATTACTACTAATACATTATGTGATTTTGCCGTACAGAGGATGGTTAGATTATTGACGATTCATCAATACTGCTACTGTACTAGTATCTCACTATATCCACACCATGTGCTGTTAGGCTCCGTTTGACAGAGCTCCCATAGCTGATTCTCTGCTCTGCCAAACGGTTTTTGAGAGAGAAGTGATTTTCTGCTAATTCCGTGAGGTGATTCTCTGAAATGAACTAGGAGAGTTGAAAAAAATAGCTTCTCCTGATTCTGTGAAGTGATTCTCCATTATAATTTTAAGAGTTTATGCTAAAGAATAAAAGAGAATCACTTTCAGCCATAAAATCACTTCTCTCAGAGAATCAGCTCCCATAAAAAATCAGAATTAGATAGACCCTACTAAACAGGCCTTTCGTTACAATAAAAAGCAGCAGAGCACGGAGGAAGACAACAAACAAGAGCGAGCTTGATGATAGGACCTGGCTCGGCTGACCACGGGTGGACGCTATGGTCAAGGCCGTCCACGGCCACGGGTGGACGTGTTTCAGGACAGCGCCTCAAACTGGACGTTATTTGGTTTAACGTCCTTCTTGATTTTAAAATTCCCCACAAACATTTACTAAAATTATTATTTTAAAAACATTTGGGATGGACGGCCAGTGGGCAGCGTGAGGGCGGTGATGACGAAGGAAACGTCGACGGCGGGAAGTGGCAGCAAAGGAGGTGCCGGGCGAGAGGAAGATTATGAAATTGCGCCGTCGGCAGTGGAAAACAATCTGCAACTGTCTCCAAATTGCCGCATTCTATTTTTCTTCTTGACAATATACTCATGTTTAAGACAAAACGTATGCTTCTATTGCTACATGTAGTTACAAAAATGTATACGATAAAAAATAATAATTATTGAAAAAAAAATGTGTCCGATCCCCTGCAGTGGAGCGAACATATCTGGATTTTCATGCCAACATACGAAGAATGTACATATATCGAACCTGTAGCACATTCATTCTCTAGAAAACATGAGCAGAACACGATTGCAAATTACCAGCACCTGAAATTCTGTTGCGCTAGCGCAGGTCTGTTGGACTGAATTGAGCCGTATGCAAAACTCCGATAGGAAAGAATCGCAGGGCTACAAGAACCCTACGCAAAGCAAAAAATTATCAAACCCTAAACAAATTCCTTGACAGTGCTTTCACAAGTTGGTTCAACTTAGAAAGGCAAAGACAAATCCATACAAGTTGGTTCGACTTAGAAAGGCAGACAGAAATCCACAAGCCGGTCCTCCAAGGCAAACACAAATCCACACAAGTTGTTTTGACTTAGACAAATAAATCCACAAGCTGGTCCTCCAGCATAACACCAAGATTATTAGAACGGAGTGAGGCACCACATGCGTGAGTGGAGCAATATATAGCCTCATGCAGCCTCCAGTCCACCGCAGGCCTCCAAAGCACTGGCTTAATCATTTCATTCCTCTGCATCATCACCACCTGTTAACAATTAAACATGAATACTTGCTGAAGCATGAAGCAGCACATAAAATACTTGCTGAAGCACATAAATCTACGTACCTGACGAGCCTGGCTGAGTGAAGCCTCGTGCATGCCACAGGCCAGGCTGGAGTCCTAATTCAGCTAACCAATCAAGGGTGCACTGCATCCGACGGCCCTGGTTGGGCTGCATGCAGTGAACCAAACGTGCCCATGGATAAGGAGTTGGTCGCTCACTTGGTTTGATCCCAACATGTAACTGTTCTTCGTGAGTTTCTTTGCTTGAAATTGGGAAGGAACGGCCTGCAACATGATGAACAAATCAACAAAAAATTAAATAGCTGGACAACAGGTCAAATCTGAGGTACGAACAAGTGATCAACAACATGAATAAAAACAACAAATAAATGTGAAATAAGGCACCGGCACTCCAGCAGCCACAACCAGACATGGCCAATTACTAAATAGTCAGACGGTTAATCAACGGATCGGCCAACTAGCCAATAAAATCGAATTGATGCACCTGAACAGTGTTATGGGACTGTTTTTCTATTAACACTCAAGTGATTTGAAAAGCACTGGGTCCTACGTTACATGCCACACGGTGCCCAGATCACACCAATTGGTGGCAGAGGCAGCAAATGCCTGATCTGACAAAACACACAAGCTCTCAATGGAGAGCACCCTATCACACGTTTTTGTCACCTAATCTGACGAAGACAATGAAAGGGGTGAGCAAAAAATGAAAGCAACTTTTCTTATAGACCAGTGGTCTGCATTGTGCGAGATTATTAGCCTGAATTCTCCTATTGGTACATGGGCTGCAGCTTTAGTAGAGGCCAGCGATTCTAGTAGTTGTCATGGGCCTGCCCTCAAGGACTCAGCTGGCATCATCACCATTAATCAACACATGACACTACTTGTATTTAAAACTGTGCTGCTACAAATATACTAATTGTGCAATCAACCCTAGTAAACTTTTAACAATGTCCCCTGGCCCTAATATCTATTTGTGCAACCAACACAGGTTATGTTTACAACAATGTCAGCACTAGTTAGATTTTCAACAATGTCGACACTAGTTAAATTTTCAACAATGTCCACTACCACTGATATCTATCTGATTAAGCAACCAATTTTGTACATTTTGAAACTGAGTTGCAATAAAAGATAGTGTCCAGGCACCAGCCATATGAGAAAGCCATACTGAAAGCAGAGAAGCAGATGCCATGTAAAAACAAACAAATTGCAATGGACGATTAATTAGAAAACAAGCAGATAACATAAGCATTTGACTGATAGATGCCATGATAGTGCTGAGCACGCATCACTATAGTAGTAGTTATTCATAATAATTAATTAGAAATCAAACAGTTAACAAAAGCATTTCACTAGTAGGTGCCACAACGAAAATTTAGAGCAAACATCACTATGTTGTTAATTTATAATGGAACATGAATTAAAACACAAACAGATGGAAGTCATATGCATGATACAGTAGAGGAGGGAAGTCACAAGATGCAGTACAGGCAAGCATTTGAAGCAATAATACAAGAAACTAATTACCTAGGGTAGTTGGTGGATTCATCATATATTGGGAAATCATACTAGGGTAATATATGATAGATGAATGAAGCTGTCTTTCAGTAGTACCAAACTCCTCTACAGCTTGTACTTTGGCATTCTTCATATCAACAATCAGAATCCATGCCGCCGGGTGATTATGTTTCTTCCTGGCCACCAAGCAAACGACATCTTCTTTACCATTCATGCACTGAGCTGGCTGAGACATTACGAGGTTCTGCAGGGCCAGATGCTCTCCTGCAAGCAATCCAGACTCGAGCACCTTGGAAACAGCTGGGTTGTCGATTGTGATGTCAGAAGCATGGACCGTGCAGTCCTGGTGCCAATCCTCGTACGAGTTGGTCATACGTGTGTTGCTCCATGTGGTGAGAGCCCAGCTATCCACTTTGAAAGAGAGAGACCCTGTTTCGGGGTCCTTGTAGGGAAGTCGAGTGGCAGTAACCTCCAAGTGAACAAGCTTGAGGACCTTGTCTCTGCTGAAGGCAATGCCACGGCGTTGCCATCCAGGTCCAAATGGAAAATCCTTCCCGCTGGTATCCCTTAGCTCCTTCAACGGCAGGGGAATAGGCACACCACGAAGGGAGGGCTTTTCGAGCAGCACGTCACATAAGAGGATGCCACGCCAATGATCAACCCAGCCAATGGTACCACCTTCACCTCCGATGGTTATCACGCCGCTTGTTAAATGACTATGAAGCTGAGTTGAGCCTCTGGGGAGCTCCATCGGAAACGGCTCCTGTGGCACCTCCACACACAACGTCCTGCAACTCCAGCTCTGAGTATGGGAGTGGAGCACGTAGAGTTTGTACTGGTTTCTAGTGAATGTGGGAATCAACGCGGCGACGGTGTATTTGCCATCCGAACGAGGAAGGAGGCCGACGCCGTTGTACTTGAAGTAGGGGTCGTGAGGGCGCTGCAGCCGCTGGAGCGACGGGCCGCTGGTGTGAGCTTGGTAGATGAAATAGTCGAAGTCGTAGCGCGAGAGGGAGGACGGTCCAGATCCAAAGTTGACGGAGACAAGCACGAGGTTCTCCACCGCGCAGACGATGTTGGGGGGCACGCACGGGTTCATGTCGGAGCTGTGCACGTAGAGGATGGAGGGATGTGGTGGGTGCTCGAGAGAGAGCGATACCTCGATGGTCTTCCCATACCTCGTGCAGTCTGTGGCAGTGATAGCGTCGCTGTTGCGGCCAGCGACTGCTACAGTGTTGAGGAGGATCCAGTCGGGACGGAGATCCATTGGATGGAGCCAACCTAAACTGGTGCTGGGTGTGGAGAATCGGATCTGATCCGATACGCTGGGAAGATAGCTAGCGAACGGGTGGAGACGGCGGCGCCGGTAGCAGCGGGGATGGGGGAGATGGCGGCGCAGCAACAGGGGGGCGGCGGCGCAGGAAGGAGCGGATGGGTGGACGTTTTTTAATGCACATATTTTTTTTTTTATATCCTGCAAAATCACTTAGAAAGCCAAAACTCGTGGAACTTGTTAGATAAAAGACCTATATTGCTCAAATATATTTTATTTGTTGTTATTTTAATATACTTTGACGGATAAAACATTTGAGTTAACGTCCGCCAACAGCGGTGAGAGAGGTGGGAGAGGTCGAGACGAACCTTGTACGGCCCGAAGCCGAGAGGTCGAGGCGGACCATGTTCGGTCAGGCCGTGGCCGGCTAGGTTGTCCTTAGTGATACTTAAGACCGTGCTTTGGGGTATCTCATTTTCATAACCCCGACAGTAGCCTCCGAGTGTTTTTACGATTCGGGAGAATCATGAAGGCACTCTTCTCGAGCGGTGCTTTGAGTGGTCGAGGCATTTGTTGGTGTTTTTAGCGTAAGCAGAAGGAATCTACAAGCACACGGATACACAGTTGTAGTACTTCACCCGAAAGTATTTAGCGTATCGTATTTTCCCAAAGAAACGGATGTGTAAGGTCCCTTAGCTAGTTTACCTAACGAAAACAAAAAAAAGGGTAACTTGGGTAGTGAGATTCTTCTGAGGGTAGAGATCTTAGGTGAAGATAACTTTATCACTATAGCTTGCTTCGAGCACCGGATTGCACCTGGTCTGCCAAGTGATGTCGGCCTACAGCTCTACACCGAACCCGAACGTGGGGGATTACAAGGGACGGACAGAGCTGTCACCACCTGCCGCCTACCCCTCAACCGTGGGGAACGAGGCAAACGAAGGTAACTTCTAACTTAGACACCACGTCTACGCTATTGGTTACTACCCTAGCGTTGGCCAGGAACTTCCGTTTTTATCAGGAGTCCTCTACTAGAGTACCCGCCACGGGGACGAACGACGAACCCACAAGTTTATAATGAACAAAGATAACTTTCTTAGTAAATCAATACCAAAAGATGAACACGAACTTCTTACTCCAATTTGTAAGATGATCGTAGAGGTACAAGTGTAGAGGAGCCGTTAGCTCCGGCACTCCTTCCGCTGAGTGTACCAAGCACACTAGTGGAGTGTTGGTATTTGTTAACGCAAACAGAGAAATCCGTAAGCTCACGGATACCGTTGTAGCTTTCATCCAGGAGTATTACAGAGTATCGTATTTACCCTCAGGGAAGCAATGATTAAAGAAGTTGATAATTAACCACCATGTATCCACTAACTAATATACCAACTAAACTAATGTGGGGGTAAGTGATAAAAACAGGAGTGATGGATAATGACACACACATGAGAACCCATTATAAGATAGAAGAGTAGATAAGCTGAGTTGAGAGGAGAATAGACGAATTTAAGGTTCCTATATACTTCTCTATTACTATGGTTCTATTCTAGTTCAGACCAGAGGGGATAACTAAACAACGGATGAGATACAGGACATCAAAACACTAGCTACGGAAAGAGATGAGAAGGGAGCTAGGAAGCTCCGACTACGGTCCTGCAAACACCAACCCGGCCTACCACAGCTATCCGTAAGGTTGGGTGCCATCTCAGGTAACCTATAAGCTAAACACCATATCTAGTCTATCGATTACTACTTTAGTCATGATCTATAATTAGAGCACCGATGCGAGGCAGAGATCCTATGCTAAGGTGTAGAACCACTATACTAACCACGCTTAGATAAACCACTAAAGTATGAGCCAGATAATCAAAGTAGCATTTCAGTAAATGGAGAAGATAATATATGAAATACTTGAGTCTTACAAAAGAACGGTAAAAGATTATACCAGACCTCCGGAAACTTCTCTAGAACCCGAGCACTCTCCCTAACTCTCAACAAGGCTAATCTAATACTACATCTTGGAAATATAGTAGAGGTTGCTCCTTGTGGTGTGGTCCGTGTCAATTGAGAAGGGGGTAGCCTCTCCTCTCGCATGGAAGGCAAAAACCGACCTCCTTATGTCGGTGGGCGCTAAACTTGCGTGTGCTGATTTTCTCCCACCGTCATCGTTGAGAATCGACCAACGCTGCCGACCTGCTGCCGTGTGCGCTGGGCTCTGCGTCTGTCCTTCACGCTGGGCTGCCTGCGCCTGCTTGAGCCACGCGTGGACAGATGATGGGCCAGCGCCGTCGAGTCGTCGACCTTCACGTAACCGCGCTTGCGCTGACCTGGGGCTGGCTGGTGTGTCCTCGCGTCGTGTGTGGATGCGCCTGGGCTGCTGCATTGCCTCTGCTAAGGGCGTGTTTAGTTCCGAAATTTTTTGACTTTTAGCTACTATAGCACTTTCGTTTGTATTTGGCAAAAATTATCTAATTATGGACTATTTAGGTTTAAAAGATTCGTCTCATGATTTCTCGGTCAACTGTGTAATTAGTTTTTTTTTCATCTACATTTAGTACTCCATACATGTGCCGCAAGATTCGACGTGACGGATACTGCACAAAATTTTTTGAATTTTGGGGGAAATTAAACGGGGCCTAAATTGGCCAGCCGACAGCTGTTGGGCTTGGGGCCCAGCTGTCCCTTGCTGCTCCCGTGAAATGAAGCTGCATTCATGCTGCTGTAGGTGTGGGGATGCCTGGCCCACCATGTCTCCTGCACGTTTGGTCGTAAATGCCCACTTGGGCCTTGTTTAGATCACCTCTAAATTCTAAGTTTTTCAAATTCTTTCCATCACATCAATTTTTAGCCACTTATATGGAGCATTAAATGTAGGTAAAAAAATAATTAATTGCACAGTTTAGTTGGAAATCACGAGATGAATTTTTGAGCTTAGTTGGTCTACGATTGGATAATATTTACCAAATAAGACGAAAACGCTACTATTTATCGGGTTGCAATTTTTTGCAATCTAAACAAGGCCTTGGGTTGGTTGCACATGCCATTGACTCTAGGGGTGCTAGACGTCAGTGCCTCTTTGAGAAATTTGTATCTTTCTCATCTGGGCCATGTTTAGATTGCAAAAAATTTCAACCCTATGAATAGTAGCGTTTTCGTCTTATTTGATAAATATTGTCCAATCGTGGACCAACTAAGCTCAAAAATTCATCTCGTGATTTCGAACTAAACTGTGCAATTAGTTATTTTTTTTACCTACATTTAATGCTCCATGCAAACGGCTAAAAATTGATGTGATGGAGAGAGAGTGAAAAAACTTGAAATTTGGAGGTGATCTAAACAAGGCCCTGATCTCCGAAATATATGAACAATATGTCCCCTTCGATCGTCTCGACGAGCTCTTCGCAATGATCTGCTCCACATATTTATTGGAGTCTGCTTTGCAACAGTAAAAATTCGAATTTCTTTTCCTTCCGATTTTCACCAAGCTGTATATGCACTATATATTATCTTTTCACGCGTATTTTGAGTATATCCTGCAAAACAACTCCGAGCACTAAAACTCGTGGAACTTATTAGATAAAAATCTATTTTTCTCAGATATATTTTATTTGTTGTCAGTTTAATATACTTTGGTGGGCAAAATATTTGAGTTAACGACCGCCAACAAGCTTCCCCACACTTAGATCTTTGCTTGTCTTCGAGCAAAGTTATATGTAACTATGAAGCATGACTTAAAAAGATGTGATGCTAGCATAAAAGATATTCCATGTCATTCCTTATACCTGTGGATTTTGTTGTGTCTAACATGTCGCCTTGAGCGGTTGAAAAGCGGAACGACTTTTGACACCAAGTCATCACTATCCCATTATGAAGCATACTTAGAGTTTTTTTGTATTTTTTTTGAAATTAAAAGCATAACGCATATTTCTCCTCAAATGGTACTCTTTAGTCGCTCAATTGTGTATATTTTTTTACCAAAGGCTTTTGAATTTGCCTTCTTTTTCATCCTACTTCTAAAAAGGCTTATGTGGGGCTTTGGGTAGAGATGAAGTGTGGGAGTATACTTGCATTGCGTATTTTGCTAAGTCAAACAATGGATCCGAGGAGAAAGATGCCATACAATCAAATCAAGAGATGCATGTGTGTGAAAAATTTATGGTGGCTAACCTAATTCTACTATGCTCTTTAAAACACATCTCTCTCTTTATTGGGACTTGAAAATTTTTGTGAAAACATGGGCTATCTTTATTCTCATCTTTTTTTTCCTTTCTTATCATCTCTTTTTTTTCTTTCTTTTCCTGTCTTTCTATTTTCTTTTCTTTTCTTTCTCTTTTTTTTTCTTTTTATGATAGCCTCATGTCTCTTTTGGCAACAAAACTTTTGTGAGAGATATGAAAGAATATTTATTTTGATGGAATCTAACAAACATATTTTTGTTCACTCCCAGTGTAGGAGTAAAATATTTTTGGGTGAAAGGCATGTTTTTGTGTCTATTCCCAGTGTAGGAGTAGTGCATATATTTGGTGGCGTGTACGTGATCTTTATTTTAAAAACATGATAACTTTCTCAACATGGGTCAACAAAGTTTGACAAAGCTCAACACAAAAATAAGTAGCATATGTAGAAGGTTTTTATCATGATATTTGGTCTTGGTAGGAAATTTCACCAATGAGAAGAAGTATTGCTATAAATTTTGAAGTTTTTAGCAACGCATAAATTCTCCAAGAGCTTACATAGAAAAGATAGGACTTCTTAGTCTTTGTCATATCTCACTCCTCAATAACTTAGGTGACATGTTTTCCTAATAGATATGTATCCACAAGTAACAAGTATATGAACTAGGAATAAAGTTTATGCCGACCAATCTTTATAAAGTCAAGTTCATAGTTTGGCAAGATTTTATTTCACATTTTAAAGTCTGATTGTCATATTTGGATTATTTTGAACGTAATCAAACTTATAGTATCATGGGTGAGAAAATGGAGTGCAAACCA